GGGGTATTTTATTCTGACCTTCATGAATACGTTCATGTGAAAATAAATAAGATATCACAATATATACGCACACACACACAAACCACACGCACAAAGGGTAATAAGATTACAAAGACGTAAATACAGTCAATCGGCAATAAATAGATATAAATTAAGATATAAATTAAGATAGAACATATACAATTAACAGATTTTCTATATTCCTGATCGTTGGCTTCTCGCAACAGGAGTTACGGCGGACGACGAGCTGCTGCTTAGAAAAGGGAATGCCGCAGGACTCCCTAAAGTAAGCCGAGACGTGAGCGGTCAGGAGGATCCCGAGAGGAGAAGACGGAGGCCGGGCGAAGGCGCCGCCGGAGGGACGCTACGACGTGGCGATCGACGGGATGTACGTCTCGCCTCCCGCGGCCGAGAGAGGGAAGCCGGGGACGAGCGGCATGTCCGGCCGCGGCCCCACGGCGCCGTCCCGCGCTACGGCCAGGGGGTAACTGCGGGGGAAAGGGCGGTGAGGGAGCGGGTGGAGAAGGGGGGGGGGGGGCAAATATCGACAGATGTGCATAACGACAGGAGAAGTCCCCTTGAAACTAATTTCGATCTCTTACCTGAGGAAGCGACTGCGATGCCCCTCGGGGTCCCCCTTGGCGAAGCTCAGGAGGGCGGCGTCGGCCAGCTGCCTGATCCTCCTGACGGCGCGAAGGGAGCCCGGGTCGCCGAGGGCCTCCTCCTCCTCCGACAGTCCCCATGTGTGCTCGGCCCACAGCGCCCTTCGGAACGCCCTGACCGCGCCGTCCTGGACTGCGACCTCGCCACCGCGCCCGTCCCGCCTCGTCTGGCACGCCGCCACGGCCACCTCGGTGTCCCTCCGGCCGTCCAGCGAGCGCTCGTTCACGTTCGCCGAGCCCACCAGCACGTGGGCGTCGTCGGCCAGCGCCATCTTGGAGTGCACGTAGATCAGGAAGCTACGCCGCTCCTGCCACTGCCGCCCGGCGCCGCCCCGTTCGGCGGCCGCCTCGTCCGCGGACGCCGCTGCGCGCGGCTCTTGCTGTGAAGGAGGAGCATTTAGGCGCCACTTCTTCCATAAGGACAGGGAAGCAATGGTGGTGAAAGTGATACCATTATGATAACAAGAATGATAACAATCTTATAAATTTTTCATCACCAATAGGAAGGTTTGTGGAGACTGACCTTGGCGAGGCAGAGGGGGACCAGGTAGTCCGTCGGGTGAGCCTTGGAGCCGACGGCGTCGAGAGCCTCTGCAATCCGCTTGTACATCATCTGCAACAGCAAATCGAGTTCAGTTCAACGCACTTAACCAGCACTCAGGGGAAGGCCTAAACATGCCTCACAGGGACGTAAACGTAAACAGACAACGAAGACCGACCTGGAGCGTCCGGAACTGCCACCGAAGGATCGCGTTCATGCTTCCATTGAGAATCCTATTCTCGGGGTTTCCTTCGGGGAGCATCGGCAGCACGAGGTATACCCTGAAGCCCTTCCCCTCCCTGATCTTGCTCACCTGAGGAGGTCGAAGAAGAGGCGAGGGAGGCGCCGTTAGGGAAAGGGATTCGGCGAGAGAAGGCAAAGCGAGAGTTGCAGATTTTTATATTTATAGAATTCCGGCCTCAAAATAAAATATCTCATCAACATGAGCCAATTGGTTGATGAAGACACCGTAGGCCATGCACTAAAGATTACTCATGATCATTCACTAGCATTATAAAATAAAGGAAGGAAGACTCACCACACGCTGAACAATCTCCAGCGGAACCAAGTTCAAGGCGTTCACGTCATTGTCCTTTTCCCAGGCTTGTGAAGACCCGATGAAGTACTATTGGAAATCCATTTTCAGTTTTGTCTTGTGATGCTGCTCTGTTATCATTCATCATATATTTGGCATAGCTAGTATGGTTTTCATTATTATACACATAAGCCTATATGAAACATTCTTAAAAAAGGTACCTGGCTCTCGATGTAGAGGAAGTTCTCTGCTCTTCGGATGAGCCTCACGATGGCCCTGTGAAGGCTCGTGTCCACTGTACGCCCATCATACGAGTCCAGCACGCCCGCACGCCCACTGCTAAAGGTGGTCGAATTGGCGTCGATGGACCTCACCACCTAAGTGCACAGTGACAGAGAAATAATACCAGACCTTGCATGCAGAGAAGAGCACTAATGGGTAAAGTTCACAACAAAAGAGATTCTTCTGAATGAATAGGAATTGTATTATCGCAAAATTACTTTTACTGTCTTTGAATTGACTTTGTTCTTCCTGGCAAGGTTCTCCCTAAGCAAACGTAAGTTCCGTTCCTCTCACCTGCATCTGCCAAGTGCCCTCTTGGTCATCCTCGGTCACCGGCGCGACTGCTGGTCGTAGCGCTGGCAGCAGGAGGTGGGCCTTGGTTGGGACCTGCCTCTTCCATCGCTCCTCGAAGCTCTTAAGGAGGTCAAAGGCGGCGGGACCCGTGACGCGGGCGTGGACGTCGTGCCAGGGCTCGCGGGGGCCCTCCTGGGCGGAGACGTCGACGAAGCCATTGTGGAAGTCCCCTTTGTGCTCCGCGTCGAGCGTGGAGAACAGCGGGTGCTCCGGCGTGTCCCAGCGGCCGTTGGTCAGGTCCAGGCCGCCCAGGTACGCCACGAGGCCGTCATCCTCGTCCGCCACCACCACCTTCTGGTGGTGTGTCCACAGCGCCTCCACGAGCTCCTCCCTCACCGCGTGCACGGAGCTCTTCTGTCGCCGCACCATCGCCACGCGGACGCCGGAGCCCTCGAAGTAGCTCTCAGTGGCCTGGTCGTGCGTGCCTACCAGCCCTGCGCACAGGACGCTCGAGAACTTCTCGTTCCAGATCAGCAGGAGGACCCGGACGCCCTCGGCCGCTCTCCTCTTCAGGAGCTCCCCTAGAGTCTCCTCCCTGTCTCGCTCCAGCTTCATGCCAGTCCAGACGCTCCAGCCGGTGATGTAAATGAACTTCTTGGCTCGCCGGATGGTCTTGGCGATGGCTTGGAAGGCGCCCTCTGCCTCCGCCGTCAATCCAGGCAGGGGCGTGGCATGGGCATCCTGGTATAGCGCCAGGGAGCCACCCTTCCTCATTGGAAAGTAAGTTCCGGGCACTTCCATTCCCTGCTCCTCCGCGTGCGCCGCCGGGGTAAACTTCACCCTCATGTGGATCCTTCCCTTCCCGCCCTCGAGGAACACCGGGCCGTCCTTGGTCCATGCCCTGGAGGGGTCGCCCAGCCGCAGCTTCCCGCGCCCCACGACGTCTGACCACAAGTAATCTTGGTCCCACACAATGATGTCGAGGGAGTCAGCGACGTGGCACACCGGAAGGGACACGTGTTCTCCCCATTGTGTCTTGATCACATTGTTTCGAACGCTGGTCCTAAGGATGCTCTGTCCGGCCAGCTTCACCTCCACATAGCAGTCCGTGGTGTCTCCACTGACCGCGTTGAACAGGGCCCTGTCGGCGTCGGAGAGGTTGGATGCCCCCACGACCTCCAACTCCAGATCCCCGTGAAGAAGACTCATAAGTGTGATGTGTGAGTATGAGAGGACCTTCTGCTCTTGTGCCTCGGCTATGTCTACTCCTGAAATATGTTTCTTCCTTCGAACTCGTACTTTCACTATATTCGCGGTAAAATTATTTCTATTACTATATATCTGTTATGACGTTGTCTCCTGCCACCTCGTGTCTAGACTTCTGCGTGTCTTTTACCTGCCCACGAGTTAAATGCCTCCACCAACCGGAAACGGAGCCTGTTACCTTTGCCGAGTCGAGGCATTATGCATTAACGCTTTCTTCTTTGTTGGTTTCCAGCCAGCCACACGGAGTCGCAACCCCCATCTAGACCACGTCCATTAAGTCCTACATAACCCCCAACAGCACCAAGAATACCACCTCGTAGACGCCTACTTAAACAGACCTCTGGACAGACTTGGCAGTGTTGTCTTGCCAGGGAATCCCGAGAAAAGTCCAAGGTCCTTGCTCGCGTGTTTCGTGGAGGGTCGTTCCTGTTGCTCCATACGACGTCAGGGGCGCCAGTGACGTCCAAGGGAAAGGAAAACCACACGGAATAAGGATGTACTGACGTGAGAAAGAGAGGAAGACACTCTTGAGAGCTAACTACGTAAGAGGTGCAATATGCAATGCATGATTCATCACTACTGACATTATCATTATTATCATTATCGCTATGATGATGATTATTATTATTAATGTTATTATTGCTATCATTATCATTATTGTGATTATCATTATTGTTATTACTATTAATATCATTAAATTATTATCATTTACTTTTATTATCATTAAATTATTATCATTTACTTTTATTATCATTATTATCTTCATTATTACTTTTATTACTAGCAGCAGTAGCATCATTATTATCCTTATTATTACTTTTATTATTATCATTACTATTATTATTATTATTATTATTATTATTATTATTATTATTATTATTATTATTATTATTATTATTATTATTACTACTACTACTACTATTACTATTATCACTAATATTACTATTATTACCATTATAATTATTATCACTATTGTTACTATTATTATTATTATCATCTTAGTAATAGCAGTAGTAGTAATAGTAGCTGCAGTACTTGTAGTAGTAGTAGCTGTTGTACAAATAGTAATAGTACTATTATCATTACTACTACTATTATTATTATTTTTAGCATCATCACCATTTTTGGGTTTATTTATACGTGCATTTGTGTGTCTGTATATGCTCGTGCGCGCGCGTGTGTGTTTGTGTCTGTTTGTCTGTATGTATACACAGTGTATATCTATGTATGTGTGTGTGTGTGTGTGTGTGTGTGTGTGTGTGTGTGTGTGTGTGTGTGTGTGTGTGTGTGTGTGTGTGTGTGCGTGTGTGCGTGTGTGTGTGTGTTTGTGTGTGTGTGTGTGTGTGTGTGTGTGTGTGCATGTGTGTTTGTATGTGAGTTTACGTGTGTCTGAGCACGAGTCTGTGTATATGTAAACACATATACTTAATGGTTATATCTACGTGACTATCTCCATTAACGATAACTACAGCACAAAGGGCAGTCTCACACATGCAGCTACTGGGAGAGAGACAGGCAGAAAAATCAAAGTACAGAATAATGAGTAAAAAGCTTATTTGTTACATCCTCATGACAGGAAATGTACATATAAAGGCACTGGAGAATTGAGACATTTCTCGGCTCACACAAAGAGGGAATTCTTGTTGCAAAATGAAGCCGGACGGGAGATGAAACAAAGACACTAAGTTGTTGATGATGTTATTGTTATTGTTGTTGTTAATGTTGTTGTTAATGTTGTCATTGTTGTTGTTATTGTTGTTATTATTGTCATTGTTGTTCTGCCTACCTTTTATCTATCTGAGTGATCGTTTTCTTATCTATTTTGAAAGGATTACAATCATTATTGTTATAGTTATTATCATTTTTGTTACCATTATTATCATCATTATCATTATCATCATTCTAGTTATTATCATTATCATTATTGTTATAATTATTTACATTATCATTATTATTACTATCATTATCAATATCATTATCATCATCAGTATTGCCATTGTTATTGTTATTAGTGTTACTTTCATCACTCTCCTTATTGTCATTATTAATATCATCATTATCACCATTATTATCATTACTGCCATTGTCATCATAGTAATATTATCAGTATTTGTATTAGCATTGGTATTACCACTATTATTATTTTTTTTGTTATCATAACTATTATCATTATCATTATTATCATTGTCATCATTATCATCATTATCATTAATGTCTTCATTATCACCACTGTTATTATTACTATTATGATTATTATTACAATTACTACCGTTCTTGGCTTTACCATAAAAAGTCAATAATCAATGTCATTACTGGTTATTAAACCAATATCATCATCATTATCATTATTTCATTTATTATCATCATTTTTATTGTTATTATTATCATCATTATCATTATTGTTATTATCATTAATGTTAGTATTATTAGTATTAGTATTATAATTGTTATTTGTATCATTATTATTATTATTATCATCATCACATTATTATAATGACCATTGCCATTATTACTTATCAATATTATCATGATCATTGTTATCACTATCATTATTACTGAGAGAAGGAGGAAGGGAGGGAGGGAGGGAGAGAGGGAGGGAGGGAAGTAGAAACGAGGAAATGAGGGAGGGAATCCCGGAGAGAGGGAGGGAGGGAGGGAAGAAGAAACGGAGAGAGAGAGGGAGGAAGTGGGGAGAGAGTAGGGAGAGGGAGAGGGGGGGGGGCGAGAAGGGAGGGAGGAGCAGATGAGGGACAAGATGCGTTGGGGGAGGGAGCGGGAGGGAGTAGATGGACTGGGGGAAGGGGGAAGGGAGGGTGAGGAGAGAGGAAGGGAGAGAACGGGGCAAGTGAGAGAGAAGAGGGGGAGGGGTTAGAGTAAGAGGGGAGAGAGCGAGAGTGGTGATGTAAGTGAGATGAAAAGAGAGGGAGAAAAGGGAGAGGGTGAAGGGGGAGAGGCAAGACGATAAGGGAGGGAGGGAAGGAGGGCGGGAGAGGCGGAGAGAGGGAAGGAGGGAGGGAGAGACGGAGAGAGGGGGGAGGGCGGGGGAGACAGAGAGAGGAAGGGAGGGCGGGAGGGAGGGAGAGACGGAGAGAGGGAGGGAGGGCGGGAGAGACGGAGAGAGGGGGGGAGGGCGGGGGAGACAGAGAGAGGGAGGGAGGGCGGGAGGGAGGGAGAGACGGAGAGAGGGAGGGAGGAAGGGAGAGACGGAGAGAGGGAGGGAGGGAGGGAGAGACGGAGAGAGGGGGGGAGGGCGGGAGAGAAGGAGAGAAGGAGGGAGGGCGGGAGGGAGGGAGAGACGGAGATAGGGAGGGAGGGAGGGAGAGACGGAGAGAGGGAGGGAGGGAGAGACGGAGAGAGGGAGGGAGGGCGGGAGAGACGGAGAGAGGGAGGGAGGGCGGGAGGGAGGGAGAGACGTAGATAGGGAGGGAGGGAGGGAGAGACGGAGAGAGGGAGGGAGGGAGAGACGGAGAGAGGGAGGGAGGGCGGGAGAGACGGAGAGAGGGAGGGAGGGAGGGCGGGAGAGACGGAGAGAGGGAGGGAGGGAGGGCGGGAGAGACGGAGAGAGGGAGGGAGGGAGGGCGGGAGAGACGGAGAGAGGGAGGGAGGGCGGGAGAGACGGAGAGAGGGGGGGAGGGCGGGAGAGATGGAGAGAGGGAGGGAGGGCGGGAGAGACGGAGAGAGGGAGGGAGGGCGGGAGAGACGGAGAGAGGGAGGGAGGGAGGGAGAGACGGAGAGAGGGAGGGAGGGAGGGCGGGAGAGAGGGAGGGAGGGAGGGCGGGAGAGACGGAGAGAGGGAGGGAGGGAGGGCGGGAGAGACGGAGAGAGGGAGGGAGGGAGGGCGGGAGAGACGGAGAGAGGGAGGGAGGGCGGGAGAGACGGAGAGAGGGAGGGAGATACGGAGAGAGGGAGGGAGAGACGGAGAGAGGGAGGGAGGGCGGGAGGGAGGGAGAGACGGAGAGAGGGAGGGAGAGACGGAGAGAGGGAGGGAGGGCGGGAGAGACGGAGAGAGGGAGGGAGAGACGGAGAGAGGGAGAGCGGGCGGGAGGGAGGGAGAGACGGAGAGAGGGAGGGAGGGCGGGAGAGACGGATGAGAGGGAGGGAGGGAGGGCGGGAGAGACGGAGAGAGGGAGGGAGGGAGGGCGGGAGAGACGGAGAGAGGGAGGGAGGGAGGGCGGGAGAGACGGAGAGAGGGAGGGAGGGCGGGAGAGACGGAGAGAGGGAGGGAGATACGGAGAGAGGGAGGGAGAGACGGAGAGAGGGAGGGAGGGCGGGAGGGAGGGAGAGACGGAGAGAGGGAGGGAGAGACGGAGAGAGGGAGGGAGGGCGGGAGAGACGGAGAGAGGGAGGGAGAGACGGAGAGAGGGAGGGAGGGCGGGAGGGAGGGAGAGAGGGAGGGAGAGACGGAGAGAGGGAGAGCGGGCGGGAGGGAGGGAGAGACGGAGAGAGGGAGGGAGGGCGGGAGAGACGGAGAGAGGGAGGGAGGGCGGGAGAGACGGAGAGAGGGGGGAGGGCGGGAGAGATGGAGAGAGGGAGGGAGGGCGGGAGAGACGGAGAGAGGGAGGGAGGGAGGGAGAGACGGAGAGAGGGAGGGAGGGAGGGCGGGAGAGACGGAGAGAGGGAGGGAGGGAGGGCGGGAGAGACGGAGAGAGGGAGGGAGGGAGGGCGGGAGAGACGGAGAGAGGGAGGGAGGGAGGGCGGGAGAGACGGAGAGAGGGAGGGAGGGAGGGCGGGAGAGACGGAGAGAGGGAGGGAGGGAGGGCGGGAGAGACGGAGAGAGGGAGGGAGGGCGGGAGGGATTGAGAGACGGAGAGAGGGAGGGAGGAGGGAGAGACGGAGAGAGGGAGGGAGGGAGGGAGAGACGGAGAGAGGGAGGGAGGGAGGGCGGGAGGGCGGGAGAGACGGAGAGAGGGAGGGAGGGAGGGCGGGAGAGACGGAGAGAGGGAGGGAGGGAGGGACAAGAGGATGAGGGAGGGAGGGGCAAGAAGGTGAGGGGAGAGGGGGGAGAGGGAATCTCAGGCGCTTATCTTGTTCATTTCCTTTCTCTGCCCCTGCTTTCGTTATTCTGTTGTGAGTTTTTGTTGCCATAACTTTTCTATTCTT